AGTGCTGATGAAGAAACCTGATGAGACTTACCGTTTTTGTACAGATTTCAGGAAATTAAATCATATATCAGTATTTGATCCGGAGCCTATTCCAATGACTGAAGCTGTATTCAGCAAGTTGAGTAAGTGCAAATACCTGATCAAAATTCCTGATAACATTAACAAATTAACTGATCAAAATACCTGATCACATTAGCAAAGCTTACTGGCAAATTCCCATGGAGGAAAGGAGCAAAGAATACACTGCCTTTATTACCCCTGATGAGTTGTATCAATGGAAGGTTATGCCTTTTGGGGTTGTGAATACTCCGGCAGTGTTTTCCCGGTTGATGAGGAAAGTCCTAAAAGATATTCCGAATGTTGATAATTATATTGATGACATTTTTGAGGGTACAGAGGACTGGGAGAACCACAAAAGAAGTCTCAGAATGGTGTTTGATCATCTCAGGCAGCATCATTTGACAGCACGCCCTTCCAAGGTAAAGATAGGATGTACACATTTGGAATTCCAAGGTCACACAGTTTGGGAAGGTCAGTTAGCTCCAAATTCACACAATTTAGACAAGATCTGAATCTGGCCAGACCAGGGACGAAGAAACAGGTAAGAGCTCTGATAGGACTTACTGGTTATTACCGGAAGTTCATTCCTAACTTCGAGGCAATTGCGGCACCACTCACTGATGTGTCAAAAAAAGTAAGTCGAAAAAGGTGGAATGGACAGAATGTCAAGCTTGCCTTCCAAGCTCTGAAGAAGTATTTGTCATCTTTTCCGATTTTACTTCTTCCAGATTTACACAAACCATTCTTAGTTCGCACAGATGTTCTGATGTAGGGATAGGTGGAATATTATTGCAGGAGCATGAAAATGAAAAAATTCCCATAATGTTTGTGAGTAGAAAGCTACTGAAAAGAGAGAAAGCATACTCCATTATTGAGAAAGCGAGTTTGGCAAAAGTGTGGGCAGTACAAAAGTTGACGAGATATCTATACGGGAGAGAGTTTGTGTTAGAAACTGATTACCAGCCTCTTGTATGAATGAGTAACGCTAAGTTGACAAATGGGCGAGTCATGAGATGGACCTTAGCATTGCAGCCTTACCGATTCCTGATACGTGCGGTGAAAGTTTCTGAGAATGTTGGTGCTGATTTGCTGAGCCGATGTCCATCATAAGTGGTTTATGTCTTGTGAATTGTATTCACAAATGTATACTCTTAGATTTAGAGTCAGGCAGTTGTACATAGTTCATGTGATCGTGTACGAAACAGTTATCTAAGGGGGGAGGTATTGTCAAGATCACAAGTAGTGCAATGTCTGTTTTATCTTATATTTGAGTACCGGTGTGACAGGTTATCGTGTATGTGTAAAGTCACCAAGAACATGGTGTACCTTTTGTATCCAGTGTCCGGGGTAGGTGTTACACCCCGTAAGGCTGTCCCGCCGATCGTGAGGGATCGATCCTGACATGCCGCCTGTGATGTGAACTGACATCTGTGTGTCTGGGGAGAGTGACGTGGCCCGCCAGTAAGGCTGTACCGACTGATCAGCAGGGATCAGAGTGACATGCCACCGAAGTGTGTAAAGATTTACATGCAGGGGAAGGACCCCTAACCTACCACTACAGAACTGAACTGTCTGAAAATCCCACATGTGGTGATAACAACATCGACAGTGATTTGTACAGTATACAATAATTATTGATTTATGCTTTCAATGAAGTTGTTTAATTCTTCCATCGTCCATGTATATAATGGAATGATATGAATGGTTTGCTTCTTTAAAACGACATGTGTAGTGTTGTGATATTTTGAGGGTTGATGTGAGTTGTGATGTGAATGTATGTGAGTATATGTGAATGGTGAGGTATGATGTGCGTACTTGTGTGTGTAGGGGAAAGAGTGGGGGTGTGTTAGGTGATGTGAGAATGAAGTTGGGAATGCAAGTCTCTTTGAACTATTGTAAGTAAGGTAGATTTAGTTAATAAATTATATTAACTTTTGAATGTGGTTTTGTGTTTACTCTAGTATGTGACTATGATGCTGATCACTGGATTGAATATATAATCGTCAATGAAACAGGCGTGCATTACCAATGCCATGTAGGGAGATTACTCGAAGTCCGGCAGAACCAATGTCTCGTGTTCCCGTGTGCATGTACAACGCACAGGGCACTATTGAGAGGAAACCTATTTCCTTTTTGTCAGGAATGACTGATAGAAGTCTGAAGCAACCACACGTCTAATATTGATGCATTATGTATGATGCATACACCTACACACAATAACCTGTATTACTCCGAGAAGCTGTTAATTCAGCCTCCACGTCGCCATCACATACACACCAAACGGAAATGTTTAAAAGCATCTGAGTGAAACTCTTGCTAACACTAAACCCGTTTGATGTTGTTTTTACGAAGCGGAAAATTAATGTTCCAGGAAAATTAATAGGGTTTGAAAGCCATCACCATTGAAAATTTAAATTCTCAGGCATAGCGCAATGCTTTACGATACTGAAGTGGAACCTGATTTATTATTTGATCAGAAATTAGTAAAATGTTCTTGTTTTCCCGATGGTCATTGGTATGGTGATTTATCGTCAGTTGTTGGCGATCTATAGCGTGTTATATATTGTATTGTCAATAGTTTTATATTTACATGCTTGTACAAATCTATATTCGTAATATTCCAGGTCTTACTGTCCGTAATTTTTATATCCTGCGTTTATGTAATGAACGTTTATATGTCTAAAAATATTTACTCACTCACTCACTTGTAGCATACAGATATGGCTCTTGGATTGACATTTATGTCATTGTTAACTATATCTATTTTGGACGAATTTACACTGTTTACATTCCAGTGTTTATTTACATAGCATGGAGAATTCTTGTAAATTATTTTGAGCGTGCAAAGTTCACACTTGAAAGCTTAAGAATGTGAGACATATTTGTCATATTTTGGTTGCGTTATTTCCGTAAATCTCGCAGTGATACTGTTACGTGCCAGTCAGAATCCAAGTTGATTGAGAAATTGTGAGAAGAATGCACAAGTCAATCAAACACGTTCTTCGAGAACATCGTAACCCATAACAATGGTTGATAATCGCGTCTCATTGGCCAGATGGGACTTGGCACTGAATTGTCGACGACACATCAGTCACGGACTTGGTGTAATACTGTTTCAACAAAGAGAAAACAATCATACTGTGTTATGATTGTCTTGCCAGGGTTTATACCTTAAAGTGTTATATCTATTCTACGACCAGTGGTGGAATGAAACATCCATTATCATAAGTAATTTTAAAACTAGATAATCACATTTGTGTCTCATAAATTCACCCCAAAATCGAAATGAAGTCTCCGACAACATATGTTTTTTTAAAAAGATAAAGCGCCTCGTTCCAGTGTTAAGGATTTTAATATTTTGGCCTCCACGCCGCCATTCGGTCTGTGTCATCAGCAATACAGGAAATGTTCAGATTCATCAGTTGAGTGGTGTTGTGAAAATGATGAACAATGACTTGTGGCTTAAAATCACCCTCTACATCTTTGACCAACATTATGGAAATGTCATGAAGCACTTAAGCACACATCAGTCTCCACATGCCGTACTTGTCACATAATCATCTTGACACGTAATGGGATTTAAAAGGAGATAAAACTGATAAACAGTATTGCTGAAAAAAGATCAAGCAAACGTTTACATTTGCTGGATATTTCTGCCTCTAGATTCCAGAGAAAACTCATCAGGGCAGTTGTAAATGTTCCAACGTAGTGACCAGCTACCCGAGAGTTCTTCACAGTCTTTCCGAAAGGTAGTGATGCACATCTAAGTTTGTGTAAACTGCACAAATGTAACAAAACGTTCACTCGTTGACGTTTTAGTAACTTTAAATCCAAACGTGATACCGATGAAGACTAAACATTCTATAAGTATTGAGCATTAACATTCTCATTCTCAAGCTCTCGCTTTCATGTGTGCTTATCGTTTTCCTATTGACTTGACAAGACGTTTTGTTAAAACTACTGTGATCCAAACAAACAAAAGGATGGCTCGTTTTAGTGTGAAAGCCCTCGCATTCTTCTTTTGTGAAAAAAAGTCGTTAACTTGGCCATTCCACCTTTAAGAGCTAAAGCATGACGTCCGTTGTGTTTGACATTTTAATGTTTTGTCTTACGAAAGAGTGGATTCCATACCTTGCAAAACGTAGAAAGACGACCCTTTTGTTATGTTGAAGGACATTCGTAAAGAACTGCACTTACACATTTGTTTACCTTCCCTGTGGATGTTTGACATGCTTTTAAGCCTATCTTGCAGGAAATGTGCTCACGTTATGAAGAAGCCCTGGCTATCTCATGCAGGGAAATCGTAACCTGTCTTCAAAGAAAATATTTCGGTTACCAGAGGCAATTATTAGGTGTCGCTGCGGATTCTTCAGGAAGGGGAAATTGGAAACACAGTGACATATTTGGTCATTTATGACCATTGCATTGCCATTAAATATTTGTTGCCCTACAGGTTATGCCTCTCGGGAAATTGATTCGCTGAACCTAGAAATAATTCTGACTTTAGAGGAAACGTACGCAGTATTTTCACGTTCAGTCGCAGACATCAAAGTATCAAGACGTTGTTCCTGATTCTCGCGTTGTAGTTTCCTTTGAAGATCTTCTTGAGATACACCATGAGTTACGTTTGGGACCTAACTTTCCACTTGCGAAAGTTTTAAATAATTGCCTGGTCCGAATACAGCTTTCTAAATTTTTTACATAAAATCAGTTACTATACAGTGCAATAACGCTTCCCAATAGTCGAATATTGATTCATCCAGCTACCCTGTGCTGCGGAACCACATAGTATGTGCTTGCTAACGTTATGTAACAGATACACATACTTGCATCTTTGTCTTTTTACGATCACCAATCCCACCCTTCGGTTGGTCCGTGCTGAGCACAACCAATCATCAAAAAGGCAAACGGGATGCATATAAAACAAACTAAGCTCCGACAATGATTGCAGATTGTTTAATACATTGTACAACATAATCTGGTGGTGGTAGAGAACGTGTGAAAAAATTGTTCATATTCAAGCATTTAAGCAAGACACACTTGTGATAGCAACTCAACAATGATGCGGAAGTGACGACAGTAAAGTATAATATACAAAGTGATAGTATTAATCGCTCATTTCGTCATTCACTCAAATGCACTGACAAGTCAATACGCTTTGAATGTTGAATGTTGGACGTATAGCACCCACTGTACAAAGCGGTTGAACCTCTGTTTCACCAGTTCTCAATGTATAATATATGACCTTCACCGACACATTAGCACAATAAATGTTTTTTTTCAGAAGGATCTTAGATGCTGTCGGTTTGGGTGGATCTGTCTTACTTCGGCAGTTGATCCTCGGCATGAGCGTTAAGGATAAGAAATATATTTGCAGCATAGCTAACAATGCCTGAATAAACCCTGAGTTAACCCCGGTTGATAATATGGCTTCTAAAGAGGTTATGTAACTTCTATGTGATAATATGACTTCTTAAGTGATAATATGACTTATTAAGTGATAATATGACTTATTAAGTGATAATATGACTAAAGTGAACATTAGCGAGCATCACGTTGCTGTAAGTTCAATCGTTCAGTCAACGTAACATCAGTCTCTGACGTTTACCAGTCGGGAAGACCTTGATCCCACGACCATTTCACACTAACACTGACAATGGATGAATCTTGGTCTCCCTGCATCATGCCCTTCGGTCTGTAGATACTAAGAAACCAAAGAAAATAGTGATTGATGGATTGAGCAACGTCAATAGGTTGAACAGGATACAGGAAGACGTGGTCGATGTCAATCTGCGACGTTATCTCAAAAACCTCATCGTTCATTATGTGGGGAGATGCTTTTTTCATTAATAAAAAAATATGACCAACCTATGTTTGGAAAACTGGTACAAAATATATCCACACTGGTCGAAAGAGTAACACCAGCTAATTACAAAGTATCAAGGACGTACCAAGAGGCTAACTGTAGCGCTTTGTTTCTACCGCCACAACCAGTGTCAGTATTATTTCCTGTAGAAGTGGAATTGGTTACAAACATAATGAAATGAGCAGGTCATGACTGAAGGCATAACATGAAACAACATAACTACTTCATTTACAACAAAAATATTTCACATTAGCTTTTAAGAAAATTACAGCTTTTAATTTCAGTCAATTACGAAAATGAATCCCGTACCCGTTGCGGAATATCGACAGACGTGACAAAACTAGTTTGCCAGTCATGAAAATACAGTCAAATGCATCTACATACTGCAGCTGTTAACTAGTTTGATAACAAAATCCCCTCCTAAAGTGACCTGTACGAGTTCTTCTCAAACAATGATCAGTTATTATATGTACTCTTGCGAGGCACTGGAGTATGAACTGCTGATTATGTAAACGCTTTGCAGGCCACATAAATAAATATAACAATTTCTTCATTATACAATTATAGGAACGAAATAACATATATATTGAAAATTTGAACTATCAGTCCACTGTGGGCTTACGGTCAAAAGTTTGAAAAACATGTCTCGGAAATGACTGCTTTGGCCAACAGCTAGTTGAGTAATCTATGTTTTCCTCAGCAGATACAATTTCTTGAACGTTATTCTAAACTGTAATCGCTGAATCCTGGATAAAATGTTCAAAACACCATTAGACATAATTCCAGGAAGTACATGTCAGTCAGTTCCCTGTGGTCTTATTAGGTATTGTCCAAAGGCAGCATGCAGTAATTATATTCCTCTTCGTTTCTTTGGACAATGTACTGGGTGCGAAATCCACTGACAGTTGCTAATTACAACCACATCATGTCACATCGCTTACATTATAACACATATGTCCATGATTTAAGTTATATTACAAGACATTCCACAAAGGCACACACACATATTGCACAGTAGCATGAAATGGCTACGTCATAACTGATTATTGTTAGTATATGTGTCTGCTTTTTCCCGCAAGGCATGTCCATTTCTGGCTTGCTTCTGTACTGTACAACCGCAGTATAACCGCAGGAATGTTTCACGAAATTTGGTACTCATAGAACAATACAGCACAAAATTAATGGAGTTATTTATAAGGGCTACAATGTCCATAACATCCCCAAGGGGCAGGTACACAGTCTCGAAAAAAGACATCTTTGTAGCACTGAGGATGATGAGGACCCCTTGGGGCAACTCTGTAACGAGGAACAGTACTATGACCGATATCAACATTTTCGTGGTTCGGGAATGTTCTTGAAGTTTGATATGGCTTGAACCCGAGAACTTCAGGAAGCTTTTCCGTAATCTTATTTTTGAATGCATTTGGTATAAAAGAAGGCCTCCAAATATGGACATTAGTAGACATGGCACAAGCTTAGCTAACACAGCGTACATCCAAACGTTGACCAACACAAGCGGCTCCGTATCGTTGCTGCCAAGTCGTAGGCTTTTCAGAACAAAGATCGTACTATTGGTTTCGTTGTGTGAGATTATACTTTCCTTCATCTCATTAGTCAGGTAGTTTGGAATCATGACGATTGTAGACGTCATGTAGACTGCAAGTACTAAATATTTGGATTGGTTGATTCTCCGCACCCGAGCGGCGCTTGCTCCACTAGGTGATCGGATATGTATATATCTGACGATAGAGAGACTAACACACAACCATATTGAAATGGTATGCGTCACATTGGTCAGGTTGATATGAAACAACAGAAAAGTCATCCAATGAATGCTGTTTTTCTCCGGTGTGCTGGAACTTGTTGGGTATATACAGTAGAAGTGTATAGCAAAAGGCACGTAAGAGGACATTGTGATGATGTCGGCTATTGCCAGACCGGTCAGGATGGTGTTGACCGGTGTTCGCATGTGCTTACGTGTAAGTACGGTGATGTTGAAGATGTTCGTAATGATGCCAGAAAAACAGACACATAGGCTGGCGTATCCATGGTAACGGCCATAAGCTGTAGAGAGTCTCTCTAGATCTTCGTTGATGTCAGGTTGTCCCGCCATCTTGACCCTGTCGCTGTCTTGGCATCTTATGTTGTTCTCAAGGTACCTGGAACACAACAACAAAGTTATAGTGAGTGAGTGAGTTATTATTTAACGTCACATCGGCAATATTTCAGCCATATCGTGACGAGAACATTTGACATTGAAATAGAATATATATAGATATTATAAGAAACCTGCCGACGAAGGACAGTAAAACAACTAGAATATCACAATTGGAATTAAAACTAGCTTAGAAAGTTAAAACTAATAGCACTATTTGGACAATACAATATTAAAAATGGCTAGAGATCGCCAACAACTGAAGGTAGATCACCATACTAGGGACAACAAAGTTATAAGTACACATCAAAGGCAAATGCACTTTTCGATGGAAGCGACATGTCTGTTTGTTGACCGAGATTGTACTTCATCTGGATGTACAGCTACTTAACCTGCCAATTATAAAGTCGTGAACACGAGAAAAAAAGATCATGTGTTCATTAGGTCCAGCGTTCCGGGGTCTAACTAATTAGATCAAGTGAACGAGACATAAAGTAGACAAATGTTACCTCGATAAACACCGAAATGTCGATGCAGTCCATCGCGTGCACAATACGTACCATATTCATTTTAGTCAGACAGGAATTGAAGTTTAGATTACTGTACCATACAAAACTTTGAAAACCTTCCAAAACATTGTTTCATTTGGATCGATGGCAAATCAAGGAGTATATCTGGACACTTCCAGTGTTCATGTCATCTCTCAAATCTGATTTGGCCATTACAGAAAACATTGGACACATGTTCACATATGTATCTAGCTCACATACGTGGTCATCAAACGTTAGCCAAGCTGTGAAATTGTTTGCTCGTCATGCCGAAAGCCAGGGTTCGATTCCCCATTTGGGATCAATGTATGAAGTCCATCAGTGGTGATATTGCTGGAATATTGCTGAAAGCGGTGAAAAACCAAACTCAATAACATAATTATTGATCTGAGTCGAAGCCCGTTGAACATAGACAGTTGCCAACAAGGAAACAAGATCCGATATATTTCCAGGCAACTAAAACGTAGCCAGATACTATTAAAAGGGATTCCAACCTAAACAGGATCGATCTCCTTGACAAATATCCATACTAAACTAGCCATACGAATGTTTACAACCTTTGGTTCTTCAGGAATTATCTTTCTTGTATTTAACTTGACTTTTAGCACGTGGTTTACGAGAAGTCCTTAATACGCCAGGGTAGGTCACTGGTCTTCGACGACTCATCAAGCAAAGATGCCTTTAATTCCTTATCCGTAATACAGTCCGATATTTTACGAGTAGCCACAGACTGATATTTCTCCTGAAGGATAGGATGGCGGGATAAGCAACCGAATATAATAGTAGGTGATTTTCGATTGGAAGATTAATCGGGTTCAATGCCAGCAATACGTTCACGGGGAAATGTCAACTTTGCATTGGTCCTTGTGATAATTATCTCTGAAACGTAGCGACCGTTGAGTTGTAAACGTAATTTGCTGAAGACATGTCCCAGTTTATTACATGTGGTGACCATGTCATTCAGCAACGCAATCTGTAAAGCATACGCTCAATCGAGCAATTTTTGACTTGTTAGTACTCATCTGAGAGAATGCATACACAAGGATATTGAATAGTATCGGCCTGGTGAATATCAGTAGAGTTTTAAGCTGACGGGAAGACAGTTATATATTCTAGGGAGGACGTTCCAGGTCGCCTTCCTTCTTGCACTTTTTTGTTGTTTTGGTAATTTTTTCAGTCACATCCAGAAATCCTGATATTTAACAGTCCCACCTCGAGTATCTGGAGAATCAAACAAGGGTTTTTCAGCATGGAGCCTCCTTGTTCAGCAACAAACGGTGGATTGGGTAAAACACACATACCTAAAGGACTTACTTTTTATACACTATACAAGTGAGCGCGAAACCTGGCAAGCGATTTAACAAATGTTTCAATTTATTGTCCTGTGCTGACACGTAATTGGAAAGAAGTATCTTGATCCAGCTAAGAGGTGACGGGGATGTCCAACACAAACATTCGAATCGTCGCATTACTACGTTTTGATAATTCCTGTTTGAGTGAAAACCCGGGTTCGATTCCCCACATGGGTACAATGTGTGAAGCCCATTTCTGGTGTCCCCCGCCGTGATGTTGCTGGAATATTGCTAAAAGCGGCGTGTAACCAGACTCAGTCAGTCAGTCCTGTTTGAGAGGCATTCTATGAGTTGTAAGCAATAGGAATGAGAAGACTTTAACGGATGATGAACTTCTTCATTGTACAATAGCGACGTCATCTTCCATTGCCTTTGTTAGCCCTCATGTACCCTGTATATATACTTCCGTATCCATTGACCACCTCATATTTGAAAAGGGTATAAGTATTTATACCGAAGCGTCGCTATTGCACAATAAAGAAGTTGATCCTCCATAAAGACTTGCTATTCCTATTGATAATTTCTGTGTGATGCGACTGGGACATTGTCAAACGGCCTTTCAACTCAGACCGCCTCCGTGGTGTAGTGGTTAGAGCGTCCGCCCGGAGAGTGGAAGGTCGCGGGTTCGATCCCCGACCGCGTCATACCAAAAGACGTTAAAATATGGTACTTGTTGGTCCCACCCTGGCGCTCGGCATTAATGGGTACAACAAGGACTGGTCGGCTCGCAGTCAGTATAATTTGTCTGAGTGGGGTATTCATGCTTCACTGCGGCATGGTATCTCAGTGGGCTAGAATTATAAAACCAGCTTCAGTCTGGGCTAGTACAAGCAGCCGCACCTACACATACAAACGCATGCACGTCGTCATATGAGCGAAATATTCTCAAGTACGACGTTAAACCGAATTTCACCTCACCTCACCATTCAACTCATTCACTAGTATTACATATAAGGAGATTGAATTGAGTTGAATGGTGTTAGTTTGGTTGTTATTGTTAGTTATGACGATATTAAGTTATTTGTCAAAAGCCGAATCTTGCTCGTTCATCATTCAAGTACCAGGTAAAGGTTCCATCCAGAAAGGTATTATTCGGGTAAATATGAGTGGCGTGAAGGAACTGTATGTTTTGCTTGTCAGAATTCTAGTTTCGGTTTTCTTAAATTATCACATTCCACGCATTGCAAATTATAAAGTGTTCAATTAAAAGTAAAATACATACGGTTAGGTTGTATCTGCAGTTACCACAGATATTTGTGGGAGAGATTACGTATTTTCCGTTCGTATTTCCACCCATTATATTTTATCATAAATGTGTGGTACCAGCTGATTTGCACCTGTAGGTAATAAACACATTATTATCAGCCCACAGCCCAATGCTTTTTACATAACATGGTGAAGGATAAATGATAGTCATTCTGATGGAATATGTTGCTGGCGCTAATTTCAGTAATCAAATTGCTCTTGGTGAAGGAGATTGCTAAGATTCAAGAGGTGACACCAGCGTATCACACCCAATGTAATGTGATAAAACATGTAGACTTTCTTGTTTGGTAATTTCTCAGCGTCCAGTTTAGCATGCTTTGCCAATATAAACATACACTGATGGAAGCAGGTGGAACTGGTAGTGTTTATGACTTTGACAGATCATATCAGTTTATAGCGGGACACGTTGCAACGTTATTGCGTGAAATGCTGCATATTCATACAAGCGAAATCGCAAATGTAAGGCATATGTTTACATGTTTCATTTTATGCATTCTGAAATCGTGATAAAAAGAAACCTTATTCCAAATCAGTACATGAGGTATAACTTGTTTCAGTTAAGGTACAGTGAGTGCCTGAGTTTAGTTTTACGCCGCACTCAGCAATAATCCAGCTATATGCCGGCGGTCTGTAAATAATCGAGTCTGGACCAGACAATCCAGTGATCAACAACATGAGCATCGATCTGCGCAATTGGGAACCGATGACACGTGTCAACCAAGTCAGCGTGCCTGGCCACCCGATCCGGTTAGTCGCCTTTTACGTCAAGCATGGGTGTCTGAAGGTTCATTCTAACCCGGACCTTCACGGGTGTTAAGGAACAGAACATGAGAAGGGGATTATTCATATCAGCATAAGTAACTAATCAGTTTTCTTCATCAGTATGAATGTGTGCATTTGGGATTATATATCGAGTATAATGGTAACAACGAATATCCACCAATAGACTGCTTACATGCGCCTTCAGTATGTGATTCTGCTGGTCAGGCTGTTTCACATGACTGATTGCGTACCCGATGGCGTGGAGCTCGTTGTCTATCACTGTGCTGACGCCGTGTTTTACCTTTAATATTACTGGCAGTGGGTGTAACAAAGAAGGAATCTCACTGATGAAAACACCTTCTGTGATCCATAACCTCAGGCCAAGGTACTGACCTAGGTACATACACTCTGTGATTGACCTTATGTTGCCAAAACATCATCCACGATGTCTGTTTGATATATATAGAAAGAAGAAACAATTTCCAATTGTTTTGTTTTTTTGTAACATAGATTTCAGTAATTTCGAAAAGAAAGCTGCTTTCATAGAGCTACGAAAGCGTGGTAAAAGTCAGTGGCTGCAAATGGTTTCTTTTGAAATTTGGTATGTTGATACTTCCACGAGAAACAAAAAAATGATAATCTACGTCCTGGAACCTCAGAAGATGATCATTAAAATCGGATGGTCCACACTCAGGTCAACACAGTCAGCAGCGTGTTAGCATGTACGGGCATATCACATACATTACATCTAACACGAGCTGACAAACGTTACCTCATTTGCATTCTTGATTACTCACGACAAAATCGATACCAAGGTTATTCAAAAAACGTGTCTCTACAAGTATGATCGCCAATTACCAAAGTCACGTATTCTACACGCCAACCAGTTTGTGCCTTTCGCCTTACATCGAGCTGGCACGTTGGGATATAACACTATTACCATTCAAAGTGACGTTAAACCCAAATCACTCACTCACTCTACATGGCTGTATAAATCCTACTATACACTGTCCCTTTTCATTTGCAGATCCAACGTCATGTTTGGCATATTTCATAAAACTATTAAGGAGTGTAAA